GGACCTCAGACCAGGGTTGGGGTGCCCCATAAATAATCTCTGGAGATTCTAGAATCTGGCAGCCAATTAAGTGGTCAGCTCCCTTAATCGTTTCATGATGTCACAGAAGTAATGTGGAAAGGCAGCCCTGGCCCAGTGTGGGGGAGGGGTATTTGGGCAGAGATGGGATCCCCAGCTTGTTTCTTGTCTGAAAGTACAGGAAAGCATGTTTCAGTTTGCCTGCAAAGGCTCTCATCTGCTGCCAGGCACCTTGTTTCAGGGGGCCAGGCCCTGGATGGGTTGACAAACGTGCCCCTGGCTCTACCCCCCTCCCTACAAAGAGGCAGGCCTGTGGCTGCCTTCTGTTAAAGGGCCAGGCCCTGGCAAACCCTGGCTCAGCTTCTACCAAGAGAGACCCCAGGGGTCAGATGGGCCCCTGGCGAATGGTCCCTCCCGGAAGATGGGGTCCGTAGTGAGCTGGATGGCCTAGCCTGAGTTGTTGGTCCCATTCCCCCAACCCCCATCCCCATCCTTGCCCCTCTTCGGGCTTTGGTCTCTTCCAGCTGGTGCTTCCGGTAGGTAGGTCCTGCTCAGATGGCTCCAAAGTCAGAGTCCTGTTGTCCTGCCCCCACCATCCCCCAGGTCGAGCTCTCCCCAGAGTAGGGCCATGCTCGAGCACAGTGGGAATGACCTCACATTCCACTTGACTGTTCCCCCAGCACCTGAGACACAGACTCCACACGATGCCGTGTGGGAGGGCACAGCCAGGTGCTCTGCTGAACTTGCAGCCTCCTGAGTTCTGCCCATGCCCGGACATCATCCCACTGGACATTACAGGTAGTTGTCTTCAGTTTCCATTTTTTCCTATAAAGACTGCTCACATGGCCCTAGAGTGCTCACCTTGGGAACACCAAGGTGTTTGCTTTTCCCACCCCCTTCCCAGAGTCTCGGACTTGGATTCAGACTCCCTGGAGGCTGCCTTGGAATCTGTTTCCTTTCATAAGTGGGGTGGTTTGGCTTCTGCTATCCCCGGCCCTGGCCTCCCATGGCCAACTTGGGTGTCATGTGGGTACATGCCCTTTGAAGGACTTGATTGGGGGCTCAAGGTACAGCCTGTTCTGTTGAAAACAAGCACTTCACTGGTCCTCTCCAAGGCCAGCTCTGATCTTCTCTGCCCCTGCCGCTGCCCCTGTCCCCATCACCACTGTGGACCTCTTCTGCCTTACCCAGATGGCTGGTACATTGAATGATTTTGTTGCCTCACAGGTTAGGTGCTTTTCAAGGGGCCTCCTTTACACACACTCACTCCCAGGGGTCAGTTCTGAGTTGTTGAGCTAGATGTGACCAAAGGAAGCCCCTGTCTACCTGTATTTGAAAATGGATGAGAGTCTGGGTGTGGGACTGGATGAAACCCAAGAGAGAGTCGCCTGTCTTCACTACACATGAACGACAGTGCAGTGGGTTTGGAGATGCATGTTCTCAAACCTTTGTGGGCCACTTTTCTTCAAAATCACCATGTAGGGGACAGAACAGCACCTTGGAAAGGCCCACGTGTGAGGACTCTAGGGCACTGTGCCCCTAGAGATAGTTTCCCATTAGTTCTGCCCTGCAGCAGGGTCATTTGCCCTGTGTGAGGGCCACAGCCTGGTGTCTGAAAGGGAAGAGCTAAGAGGGTATGGAAGAGGCTCTCCCAGGGCATTTCAGCCTGAGGACTGGTGGCCAGAATGGAGCTTGCAGCCTCGACTTGGGCTTGCTCCGTTGCCTTTGCCCTCCTAAACAGGTTGACAAAGCATTTCTTCAGGTTGGTTCATCTGACTGGAACATGACCCTGGAGGCTGTGATTATCCGTGGAGGCTCCTGGCGGCTCCTCCGAAGGGGGCCGAAGACTGGTATCTGTGGGCAGCCTGTCTCGGTCATTCCTCGTATGGAGCCTGTACTCCAGGCAAGACCTGCAATGTCCTGTCTGCAATTTGGAGGCTCGGCTGTTTTCACCTGTCTTTCCGACAGGGATGTCAGGCAATGCAGCACGAGGTCTTCCTGCCTGGGGACTATCAGGGTTCCCTCTGGTCTCAGATCTAGCTACCCTCAGTCCTCCCTCAGGGTGTTCACCTTGACTTCTGGTAGGACCTAGGCTCTGTCCTCTCCCCATCATAGTCCCTGCTCCTCACACCATGTCCCCAGTCTCACAGACCCCGATGTCAGGAAGTCAGGACATATTTAGTATGCTCTTCTCACCCAAAGGGCTCCCAGGGCCGATAACAGGGCCTGAGACCTGTAGGGTTCCATCAGTCTGGTAAGACTTGGGGTCCCTAGAAACTTCACTCAGGGGTCCTTTCAATCTTCCCTCAGGGACCTCAACTTGTCTCTGTGTAGGACTTCGGATTCACTCCTCTCCCCTACTAATGCCCCATCCCTTATATCGGGACTCCAGTCTCTCTGAGACATGGATGTCAGGAAGTCCACTCCCTATACTAGGACACCAGTCTGAAATCCAGATATTAGGAAGTCAGACCCCTGTACCAGGTCCCCATTTTGAGGCCTGTATGTCAGGAAGTAAGCCACCTATACCAGGTTCCCCAGTCTCTCTGAGACCCAGATGTCAGGAAATGCAGCATGTGTTCCTTCCACCCTACGTCCTCCCAGAGCCCACTCTGCTCTGGGGTCCAGGGTCCCCTCAGTCCTCCCTCAGCGTCCTCACCTTGACCCTCCAAAGAACTAAGATCTTCCCCTCTGCCCATCTGAGGCACTACTTCTTCTAACAGTTGCCTCATGTCTCTGAGGTGCAGAGGCAGAAGTCAGAACAGGCTGCCAAGTGCTCATCCCACCACCAGGATCGTCCAGGCCTAACAGCAGGGTTAGGCATCTGTGAGGTTCCTTATATTCCCCCCTACAGGACCTCATCTAGAGCCCAGGCAGATCCGGGGATGCCCCTTGTGTTGACCCGAGGTGGGACCCTCACATCAAGGCTCAGGGAGCACAGAAGGTGGATGAGCTCATGCTGCATTTCCTGACATCCAAGTCTCAGAGAAACTGGGGATCTGGGAAAGGGGACGCGTCCTCAGGTGAGCAGAGGGAAGAAGCCCAGCTCCTCCAGAGTTTCAAGATGAGGACCCTGAGGGAGGACTAAGGGGACCCTGGAACCCAATCAGAGGAGAACTCAGAGAAGGCTGTAGCTGCAGTTGGTCCTTGGCGGCCCTGGGATAGGATGAGCCAAACGTGCATGGTCTGACTTCCTGACATCCAGGTCTTGGAGAGGCTGTGTCCCAGGTATAAGGGGCAGGGCTTCAGTTGCAGAGAGGCGAGAATCCCAGGTCCTGCCTGGAGGCAAGGTGAGGTGCCTGAAGGAGGACTGAGGGGACCCTGAGTGAGGACTGAGGAGACCCTGAGTGAGGACCAATGGAACCCCACAGATCCCCACCCCTGTAGTCGGCCCTGGGAGCCCTTGGGGTGAGAAGAGCACACTAGGCCTGTCTGTCTTCCTCACGTGACGGTCTCAGAGAGACTGGGGATCTCATGAAAACGGCAGGGTCACAAAATGGTGGACAGGACAATCCCCGGTGCTGCCTGGGGTCCAGTCTCCATGCCGGGAAGTACTGAGGAGTTTAGACCCCAACAGGAAGGGATCTTGGCCCTTTCAGGAAGGTCTTGGAGGGCCCAGAGTGGGGTGCACAGGGTGAGCAGTTTCTTGACCTCTGGCATAGAGACCTCGGGAGGTAAGCTTTCTCGGGTAGAGGCCAGAGGCTTCAGGTCGGCAGAGGCTGGACTCCCCAACCCAGGTGGAGGACTGAGCAGACCCACGCCCCTGTGGTCAGTGCTGGGAGGCCAGGCAGGGTGTGAGGAGGAGCTGAGGACAGAGCATGTCCCCAGCCGAGGACCCGCTGGAGGCCCTGGGCAGGTGTGGCTACATGTGGGGCCCGTCAGTGCTTTCTATTCATTCTCGGGTCTTGTTCTGAGTTTCCCTGTATGCCTCCAAAGGGGAGGGTCCAAGCCGTGCCAGGGGGGAAAGGTGAGCACTACAAGGGCACCCCGAGGGGACCTCCCACCACACAACTGGATGTGCTCACTGAGCCCACCCCTCTTACCATCACAGAAGGCCCAGGGCTGTGCCACTGTATAGCCCCTAGATGTTCCCTCCATTTCTCACACAGGAGCTTCAGGAAGCAGGAAGTGAAGACAGAGGTCTAAAGCCTGTGTCCTGGAGATGAGAGAGCAGAGAAGGCCCAGGCAGTATCTGGAGTCAAGGTGAGAGGGTGCCCTGAGTGTGTACTAGAGGCTCCCCATCCCAGAACAGAGGGGGGGCACACGAAGGCCCTAATCCCCGCCCCCCACATTGTGGGCCCCGGAAATCTCAGGCTGTGCTGACCACACCCTGGGGAGCCATCACACTTCCTCCTTCAGGTAGCCAGGGGACTGTCTTCCTAGGAGGAGCACCCCTGTGAGGCCTGAGAGCACCCCTCAAGAGGTGACCTATAAGTGGCCTGTGTCAGACCACCTGGGATGCATTTCTCATCCGAGGCTGCTCACATGCCCTCTGCCCCAAGGCCTGTGGTCCCCATCTGTACCTCTGCCTCACTTCCGTGTCTTGTTTGATCCCAGGCATCATGCTTGTGGTCGAGATGAGTGAGTTGAGTAAGCCCAAAGAAGACCTTCAGGACCCAGTTGAGGCCCAGGGCCCAATGGAGGCACAGCTCTTGGAGGCTGAGGAGGACGAGGCCACATCCCACTTGGCCTCCTACCTCCCAGCATCCTCCTCTGCTCCTTTGGAGGCCTTGCCCCAAGAAATTCTGAATGAGATGATGGCTAACCTGATGAAGTTCCTGCTCCTCAGTTATCGAGCCAAGGAGCTGACCTCCCAGGCAGAAATGCTGAAGGTCTTCAGGGATAACCAGCAGCACTTCCCAGTGGTCTTCAGGCAAACCTTGCAGTGAATGCAGCTGGACTTTGGCATGGAGGTGAAGGAGGTAGATGCCAGGCAGCACATCAGCATCCTTGTCACCACCCTGGGCCTCACCTGCAATACGATGCATAGCGGTAGGCAGGGTCTGCCCAAAGCCAGCTTCCTGGTGCTGGTCCTCAGCCTCACCATATGGAATAGAGACCATGCCCCTGAGGAGGAGGTCTGGGGAACACTCAGCAGGATGTGGTTGTGTGCTGAGGGTGAGCACTGCGTCTTTGGGGAGTCCAGGGAGCTGCTGCCCCACATGTGCCTGCGGGAGGGGAACCTGGAGTACCAGCAGTTGCCTGACAGCCACCTTGCATGCTATGAGTTCCTGTGGGGTCCCCAGGCATATGCAGAGACCAGCAAGTGGCAATTTATGGCATTTCTGCTCAGGGTGAAACAAAGGGCTTTGAGGGCCTTCCCACCCCTTTCTGCAGAGGCTGCCAGGGAGGAGGATGAGGCAGCCTGAGCCATAGCAACAGCCAGGCTGGTCCTTCCTTCTGTGATTGAACAGGGAGCAGTTAGCCATCTCAGAAGTGAGGGCCAAGGCCAGTTGGGGGAACCAGTGTGTAGCATCTTTGGGTTCCTGTTCTTTACCATGGTATAGAGATTCATCTCTGATTTCTTTAGAAAATTTTCAAACTTTGTTTTCATAGAAGGCTACATTAACTTCAGTGTCTTATCTTTGTGAATGATGTTAATCCCTGTATGTTTATGGATACCCAGTTCACAAACAAGAGTTTTACTCTTTTGTAAAATTGATTGAAGCACGCCAGCTGTGATGGACCTCGCATAAGCATGGCCTTGAGGAGCTACCCCTAGCCCAAGGTCAGGGGCAGCGACCGAGAGCGCCAGGCTGTGACGGCACAGGTGCGGCCGAGAGGAGCTACCCCACATCCGAGGTCAGGGGTGGTGACCAGGAGGAGCTACCACACGCCCCAGGGCAGGGGCAGGGCTGAGAGGAGCAATCCCACGGCTGAAGTCGGGGCGTCGGCCGAGAGGAGCAACCCCACGTCCAAGGAGCGACGGCTGTGCTGGCGCAGCAGGGCTGAGAGGAGCTATTCTTTGTTCAAGGTCAGGAGGGGTGGCCGTGAGGAGATACCCCTCATCCAAGGTAAGGAGCAGCGGCTGCGCTTTCCTGGAGCAGCCATGAAGAGATACCCCACGTCCAAGGTGAGAGAAACCCAAGTAAGACAGTGGGTGTTGGGACAGGGAATCTCTTTGCAGTGACAGTTTCTCAGACCTTCGTGGTATTTTTTTTTTTTTTTCGATGACACTGACAATTTTGAGGCGTCCTGGTTAAGAATATTGTAGGGACTTCCCTCATGGTCCAGTAGTTGGGACTCTGTGCTTCCACCCCACGGGGTGTGGGTTTGATCCTTCGTTAGGGAACTAATATCCTGCATGCTGAGTGGCCAAAATGATTTAAAACATCCAACTAGGTTGTGGCAACCACGAGTCCCTCTTTATCCCTCACCACTTTACTCTTGAGCTCCACACAGTGCAGGACACTCTGACTGTCCACTGAGTTAAGGGTGGGGTGCACAGCTATTTGAATATCATGGTCCTTTTCTCAAATAAAAGGACAATTCCATGGACTCCTACAAGAAAGTGATGGAGTTCTAGGAAATCAATCACAGCCACTCTCAGTTCAGCACAGCTTCTGCAGACATTGGTTCTTACTCATCACAGGAGCAACTGCTAACACTCGGTGGGAGACATGGAGTTACCATGATAGAGAACATTTCTCCAGTTCCCAGAGGGGGAAATGGGCGTCCTCAAGATCTCACCCTGGGGAGCCAGCTCTCTGTGCAGCCTTTCCCAGCTGGCAGGGTTTGGCAAAAAGGGTTTTGTGGAGGGAGAGTGGGAAAGACTCAGATAAGCTGAAGCAGGGGTAGAGTGGCCATTGCCCTGGCCTCTGTAAACCTGGACATTGGGTTCAAACCTAGAGCGGGGGAAATAGCCTGGGAAGCCCACAGTCAGGGCAATGTGACCTAGAACAAAGGTTTCTCTACATCAAGAAGGAAAGCCTCTGTTTATTATCTCTACCGATATTGCAACATAGATGCTCATCTCTTTGGGAGTGATTCTGGCTCCTGACTCCTGGGTGGGGAGGCCTTGGCTCTAATCCAAGGCAGGTGGGTCTCTCTTTGTATCGCTTCATTCAGATAACTGGAACCAAGAGTAATTCATCACTTTGTGAAGGATTAATCAAATGTGTTTCAAGTTCACTTCAAAGACAGTTCAACTGATGAAAATATACAAGACCCGTTACACATGAGGGCCATAAGCAGGTGCAAAATTCAGAACCGGACTTTAGGAGAGCAGAGCTCTATGGAGATACTGTTAGACAGTCTTCACCCATGTCTGCTGGTCTGTTGCATCTTGCTCTGTCATGTGGTGATTACTAAACTTGACTGTGTGGTGGTAATCGTCAAAGCTGGGGAATGGACTCACATTGTTCTCTATTTGCATGTGGGGGGAGAGGTGACGCTTTCTGAGTAATAAATCTTTGAACCAGGAAAGTGATTCTTAACCTGCATGTGTCCTCTAGTCCCATTAGGTATTCCTGCTGTTCAGTCAGGGAAGGTAAGGGAATTTGAAATTTAAAAAGTCTGACAGTGTACAGATGCCAACTTTAAGAAATTAGAACAAGCAGAAACGGATTCTGATCTGCAGAATCCTTGTGGGATGTGGGAGTGTCATGTGGGATGCTGTACTGGAGCCAGAAGCGACAGTAGCTCCTAAGGGACGTTTAAAATTTCCCTCACACTGGTTCTTGCTCCAACCTGGAAGTATCACACGGCTGAATGACACCACCATTGCAGTTAGGTTTACTCCACTAGAAGAGAAGCCTTGCTAGCAAGGAGGGATGGAGTTCAAGCAAAAATCTTGCCATGTTGATATGATACATTTATAAATGGTGACGTCGTATTAGCTACCACCTCCATTCTATCACATTTGTGTGTGTGTGTGTGTGTGTGTGTGTGTGTGTGTGTGTTCAGAATGTAGAAGTTCTACCCTCTTAGCAACAGTCAAGTATTTAATACAGAATAGAGCTATAAGCATCCTGCTGTACACTGGATTCCACTTGTTAGTATTATAAGTGGGGGCTGGTACCCTGTGAACAGTCTCTCCCTATTTCCCCATCCCCTAATTCTTTGTAAACGCCACTCTCGTCCCCATTTCTCTGTCTGTCCTTTGTACTTTTTAAATTTATTTTTATTTTTATTTTATTTTTGTTCTTGTTGCTCAGCATGTGGGTTTTTAGTTCTCCAACCAGGGATCAAATTCATGTTCCCGGGATTGGAAGTGCAGAGTCTTAGCCACTGGACTACTGGGGTAGTCCCAGGTTGTCCTTTTTAGATTCCACATGTAAGTGATAACAAACTGTATTTATCTTTCTCAGTGTCACTTATTCTACTTAGCATAATGCCCTCAAGCTCCTTTCAAGTTGTTGCAAATGGCAGAATATGTTGAATATGTCACATCCTCTTTATCCGTTCATCCACTGACGGACACTTAGATTGTAACCATATTTTGGATACTGTGAACAATGCTGTAATAAATGTAGGAGTGAAAATATCTTTTCAATATCTTACTTTCATTTCCTTTTGAATATACACTCAGATGTGGAATTGCTGTATCATATGGTAGCTTCCTTGATAGTGTTCTTTGATTCACAGACTTTATTTATTTGACCAGGTCCAATTTATATATGTCTTTCTCTTTTTTTGCCTCTGTTTTTGGTGTCATATCCACAAACTCTTTACCACCTAAAATATTTCTAGATATATACATAAACACATGATAGGATGTACATCTATACATCTTTGCTCTCTCAACCAAGAGGTCCCCAGACCAATGACCCTTCAGTACCAATGAGCACAATGAGTGTACAGATCTAGATTTGCCAATACCTTTTGACAATAAAAGGAACAAGGGTTCCATGAAAAATTGATGATTCTAGAATTGGGTCAGGAAATATGGGAAATGAGCCTGGAACATCTTTGTAGCATGTGAAAAAAAGTACTCAGAAATTTTTCAAAAAAGGAAGCAAAATGTCCAGGGATATGACAAAGTTATTTACAAAGGGAGCTGACAGGAAGAACTCCCAATAGCCAATCTGAGAACAATTTGAAAATAAAAGTATATAAAGTTGTATTGGATTTTAACCCAAAGTGCAGTATAAATACCATGAGTCCATACTGAGAAAAATTAACGATTTCTTAATTCCACAAACAAGGATAGACAACTCTCCCACAGAGAAAAATTCCAGTTTATGCAGACACTCCCACTTCTAGAAAGTGGAGTCTAACTCCCTACCCCTGAAGCCATGGACCATACATCGTGACTTTCTTCCAAAGAGGACAGATGGAAAGGGGACATAAAACAATCACTTTATCACATAGACACCTGACAAGCACTACCTCAGCCACATGATCAATGAGAGCATCACCAATGATGAATTGTACTAATAGAATACACACTTGCTATGCTGTGATGAGAATGGGATTTTACATCTGTAATATTCCTCCCCCAAACTCGTAATCCCAGACTAGTCATGAGTAAAATATCAGACAAATCTCCCAATCAAGGGACATTGTTCAAAACATCTACTGAGTACTCCTCAAAACTGTCAAGATCATCCAAAACACAGAACTGTGAAAGCTAAGAGGAACCCAAGGAGACATTACAACTAAATGTTAGGGTGATTTCCTGGCCAGGATCCTGGAGCGGGTAAAACCTATAGAAATCTGAGTAAAGTGTGGGCTTCAGTTGACAATAAATAATGCATCAATACTTCCTCATTAATTGTAATAAATGTATCATATTAATGTAAGATATTAGGAATAGGGGAAGCTGGGAGAGGGCATATGAGAATTCCACTATTTTCACAAATATTATTCAAATCTTAAAGGATTACAAAGGAAAAGGTCAAAATAAAATCTATTGACAGTTTCAAAATAAAAGACACAAGGAAACTTACGGCAAAACATGCTGAGTATGATAAAAAAGGAAATAGAAAGGAAACCAAGCACAAGCACACGGCACTTGTAGGTGTGAATCAACCCTTCCTAAATTATCTTCAGCTTTTCCTCTCCCTTAACCTTCAGTCTCATATAATAAACTAACCAGTCCTCTTCCACCACAGAAACATCTCTGGATCCAATTTTTCTCAAGCCCCACAAACACTGCCCTTATCCAAACTCATAGATGTTTTCCCTGGATATGACAAGAGCCACCAATCGAGGCCAGGTGTAGACCTAGAACCCTGTATTGCTCAAAAACCACTTTAAGACGTCTGCCAGTGTTATTTGCCACAGATGTCTGACAAGTGCCAGGCAGGGGTCAGTGTCTTGACAAAGAAACAAGGGTCCAGAGCAAAACTTAAGCTGTGCATATGTGTGTACGTGCTTAGTCGCTCAGTATGTTCGACTCTTTGTGACCCCACAGACTGTAGCCCACCCACGCCCTTGGGCTCCGGTCCATGGGATTTCCCAGGCAAGAATACCGGAGTGGGATGCCATTTCCTCCTCCAGAGTATCTTCTTACCCAGGGATCGAACCTGTGTCTCCCACATTGCAGTTGACTATTTAACACTGAGCCTCCAGGGAAGCCATGAGGAAACACAGGGACTTCTCAGAGGAGCAGAACATTCACTGAGAATCCTTAAGCCAGGGGAGTTGCCTGTCCCATCGGTGATGCCCTAGGCAAGATCAGCTTGGGAACAGTGTGGTGTGTTTTCACAGAGAGGCGGCTGCTGAAGATGCTGGATCCTGAAAATGACCTCCAGATAAGTCGGTGGGTGCAGGGGGCAGTTTGGGCCTCCTAGCAGCCAAAGGCCTGAGGTTCTTAGGTACCCAGAGCAAGATCCCACCCACACCTAACAGTCATATCCAATAAGGGGCATGAGGAGTACCTGTTATGATGGCTGTCACATGTCCATCCTGGAGTGCCCCCCCCCCCCGGGGCTGTGGTCCCGGCCTTGGCCTCAGAGCACAGATGATCTCATGGAGGCCAGGGCGGCAGCTCACCTGCAGCAGCATCTCCTCCCCACTCCCTCTCCTGACCAGCCCTGGGCAGGTCAGATGGGATCTCCAGGGGCTTGCTGCTTCCACCTCTCTGGGGCAGCCGACTCTCTTTGCAGCCTGCACTCCTGGGACCACAGTGTCCTCTCCTGCCTGGTTCCTTTCCAAATCCTCCTTTGAGTCTGGAGCCTCTGGCACCTAGGAGGGCATCCTGGGTACCACCCCTGCCATCTGCTAGAGCCTGTCCTCTGTTCAAACAGTCCGACTGGCTCCTAGTTGGCTCTGCAGGTGGCTGACCAGACACCCCTCTGCCTCTCATACTCAACCTCGAAAGCCATGACCTTACAGTCACATTTAGAAGACCCTGAGGTTTCTCCAGCACGTGGGATTCCACAGGGAATGGTCTGATACACCTCAGGATCATAGAGATGTGCCCCATGCATCCGTGGCAATGATTACTACTGAGCGTCCAAAAGGAGAGTCAAGTCCTGCCAGCTCCACCTTTAGCACCGTGGAAGGGGACGCTGCTCTGGGACTTCCAGATAAAGATACACACATGAGGTCATCAGGATCAGGGCCTAAGCCACTCTCAGTAGGGGGGGCAGGTAGGACAAAACCCAAGGCCAGGTTCTGAGGGAGTGGGGGCACTGTGGGCAGCAGGGGTGTGTCGGGGGAGGGGTGTGGCTTGTGGCTGGGGCCCATGAGAAGGATGTAAAGGATGCTCCCAACTCCAACAGGGACCTTTGACAGCTGGTTGCTGTCCTTCTGATGGAGACCGAGCAGAACCCCGAGGGGACTCACAGTGCAGCTCAGCGGGGGTGGGGGCACGCTGTGGGTTGGGGGTGCGTGGAATTCCTGTAGCCAGCTCCCTGTGGGCAGCCTCTCTCAAGGGTCAGAGGACTTTAGTCTCTGGAAGAAAAACCTCACTCGGAGTGGTCTGTGTCTTAGTGTTGTCCTGATTTGAGGATTAACTCCCAGGTGCCTGTGTCCCTTCAAAACAAATGGTCATGACAAAAATGCTTCTTCTCAAAGTTCACTGATCACGGGTCATCACATCACCCTTCCTAAGTGAAGAGGCCTGGCAGGCTCATGTCCCCATGTGTGCAGGGAGAGAGGAAGACAAGAGGTGGTGGAGCACCTAACATCTCTCCAATTCCACACTGCCTAACAGATGCTCAACAAAGAGCGGCAGTCAGAATTTATAATGACAAAATCTCAAAAAAAAAAAAAAGACAAAATCTCCTATGTTTTGGGGAAGAGAGTCTGAGCAGGTCACATGGGTCTTGAAATTCTCCACCTTTTCCAAGTGTCCATTGACTATGTGGCAGTGACCACATGTGTGGCCAGAATCACATCTCCTGTTCCCATTGTTCTCTGGCACTCAGCATGGAGAGCTGCCCCTTCAGCCCCTTGCACCCACACGCACACCCCACTGCAGTGGCCTCACCACCTCCTTAGGCCCAGAACTCACTCCTGTCATTTGATGCCAGGCACAGCCTTAGCCTGTGAGTCTCTGCTGTCTCCACACTTCTGAACTTGCATGAACCCGGGGACGCTGGTGGATGTTGCATCTTTCCTGGCTAGCACTTATTTCTTGTGTTATTCGGATCTCAGACTCTGTCCCTCTCTCCTCTGGAAATAGTTTTGTTTTCAAGACACCTCATAGGATTGCCAGCTCAATAGGAAACGGAATAGAAAACCAGTCAAAATTGCGGCTCTGTGTGTTTTCCTCCTAGAGGTTATATTATTCAATTTGGCTGTTAGTGTGTGTTTGAGGGGGTGGGAAACAGTGTCTTTCCTGGCTGGGAATCAAAGTTCCCAGGATCCAGTCACCCAGCAGGATTTCTCCACATTCACTCATTTCATCCCTCTGAAATCTAGACCATGCTCACAAGTGGCCAAAATAAAGTCCAGATGACCAAGTCAGTGCTCATTTCAATATATTGGTAATCAGCTTTCCCAGGACAGAGAGAAGAGGGCCAACCCAGGGAATACTTGGCCATACTTCAAAGCAACATTCACCTTTCTCCAGGCTTCTGAGCAGATGGTGGGGCAGTGGTAGAAAACACCTCCTTTGCCCCTGTGGTCAACAGCAATGCAAAAACTGTCAGGACCCCTTCCTTTCCACCCCAGCAAGAGATCTCTCTGTGTTTTATCCAAGATGCAAAAGGACAGCTCACACCAATGATTCATTTCAGACTTTCCTGTCACCCCCAAGATACACTGTCGGCAGGTCTGAGGGATGCCATCATGCAGCCTCATCACGATGACCTCCCACAGAAGGAACCCAGCTTCCCAAAGCCCCAGAACACTCTGGCTCAGACACTGACATTCCGGGGCTCCTCCTGGAGCCTCACCGCCCTGGCCCATGCTGCCTTGTTTAGTGTGACTAGGGGACTTCTCTCCACCTTCTTTGTGTGACTAGGGCTACTAGAGCATCGCTCTAGGTGCAGGGGTGTCCTGCTTCTCCTAGTGTCCCCACTACAAACCCAGCCTTTCACAGAGCAGAGGCTCCGTAAAGGTCTTTGGAATACACGAGCCAGTGAGCAGGGGGCTCAATTAATTATCTGCTACTTCCTTAAATAACCCAGGCAAATCCAAGTGCACAAGAGATAATTTAGTTTTTGAAAATGACACACAAGAAGGGCAGAAGCATGAATTCTCTACAATTGTTTTTATCATCTAGTTCATCCCCCATCAATGTTACTGCTAAGTAAGCTCACTTTTCCAAAACAGTTCTAATTCCAATTCCATTGCATTCTGTTCAGGACCACAAAACACAATGGAAGAGTTTCCAATATCTTTTACAAAACAGCAAAACTCTTGTTCATGAATTGGATAAGCACAAACGCACTGTGATCAGCGTCATTCGTGAAGCTAAGACACTGAAGTTTATTTAGTCTTCTATGAAAACAAGCAAAGTTTGAATTTTTTCTAAGGAAAACAGGTGAATCTCCAAGTCATTATAGAGAACAGGAACCCAAAGATGCTATACACTGGTTCCCCAAAGTGCCCCAGGGCCTCACTTCTGAGAAGGCTGACTGCTCCGTCTTCAATCACAGAGGGAAGGATCACCTGGATCCTGCTCTGGCTCAGGCAGCCTCATCCTCCTCCCTTGCAGCCTCTGCAGACAGGGGTGGGAAGGCCCTCGAAGCCCTTTCTTTGATCCTGAGCAGAAATGCCATGACTTCCCGCTTGCTGGTCTCCGCATAGGCCCGGGGACCCCACAGGAACTCATAGCGAGCAGGGTAGCTGTAAGGCACCTGCCGGTACTCCAGGTACCCCTCCTGCACCCACACGTGTGTCAGAAGTGTCCTGGGCTCCCCAAAGACACAGTGCACACTCCCGACACACACACCCAATCTGCTGAGTGCTCCCCAGACCTTCTCCTCAGGGGCGCGGTCTCCATTCTGCATGATCAGGCTGAGGATCAGCACCAGGAGGCCGGCCTTGGGCATGCTCTGCCCACTGCTCAGCATCACATCACAGGTGAGGCCCAGGTTGGGGACCATGATGTAGATGTGCTCCCTGGGGTCCACCTCCTTCACCTCCACACCACAGACCAGCTCCAGGCAATGCGAGGCTTGGCTGAAGACCACCGGGAAGTGCTCCTGGTTATCCCTGAGGACCTTCTTCAGTATTTCCGCCTGGGAGGTCAGCTCCTTAGCTAGATACTTGAAGGGCAGGAACTTGATCAGGTTAGCTTTCATCTCCTTCAGAGCCTCCGGGGGCAAGAACTCCCCAGTGGCTACGGAGGACACTGTGAGGGAGGAGGCTGAGGCGGATGCAGCCACCTCTGCCTCAGCCCCCAAGAGCTGCACAATTCACTGGGCACTGGGCCTCGCCAGGGTCCTGAAAGTCTTCCTCGGGCTTGCTCAGCTCACTCATCTCGACCACGAGCACGATGCCTGGGATCAAACCACAGACAGGAGTGAGGCAGGAGAATAGATGGGGATCACGGGCCAGGCTAGGGGAGAGAGGGGCTGTGACTGGCCTCAGCTGAGAACCACACCCTGGGCGGTCTCACACAGACCACTTACAGGTCTCCTTTTGAGGGGTGCTCTCAGACCTCACAGGGGCAAGCCTCCAGGGCAGCCAGTCCACTGGCTACCTGAAGGAGGAAGTGAGGTGTCTCCCCATGGTGCAGTCAGCACAGTCTGACATTTCCAGGGCTGACAAGGTGGGGGATTAGGCCCTTGTGGGGTCCCCTCTGCTCTGGGATGGGGAGCTCCTGGTGCACACTCAGGGCACCCTCCTCACCTTGACTCCTGGGACTGCCTGGACCACCTCTGCCCTCTGACCTCAGGACTGGAGCCTCAGTCCTCTGCCTTCCTCTCCTGGTTCCTGGAGTCCTGTGAGAGAAAGGGAGGGGGCAGCTCTGTGGTATCCTGTGGCACAGCCCTGAGCCTTCCATGACAGTATGAGGGGTAGACTCTGCGAGGTCCCCCAAGTTGTGTGGTAGGAGGTCCCCTCACGGCTCCCTTGTAGTGCTCACCTTTCCCCTGGCACGGCCTGGTCCCTCCCCTATGGGGACCTGCATGGAAATTCTGAACAAGGTCCGAGCCTGAACAGAAAGCGCTAAGGGGCTCCACATGCAGCAGCCGCACCTACCTAGGGTTTCCTGTGGGTCCTAGGCTGGGGAGATGCTCAGTCCTCAACTCCTCCTCACGTCCTGCCTTGTCCTCCCAGCACTGACCACAGGGGCGGGGGTCTCCTCAGTCCCCCCTCGGGTTTGGGGAGTCCAGCCTCTGCCGACCTGAAGTCTCCACCCTCCGCCGGAAAAACCTCACCTCCCAAGGTCCCTAAGCCAGAGGCCAAGAATCTGCTCGCCCCGCTCTAGGGCCCCCAAGAGTCCACACAAGGGCCAGGATCCCTGTCTCCCTGTGGGGGTCTTTCTGCCTCTTTCCATCCTCAAATGCAGCCTGGACTCCAGGCAGGACCGCGGACTGTCCTGGACTGTTCCGTCCGCCATTTTGAGACCGTGCCGCTTTCACGAGATCCCCCGTCTCTCTGAGACCAGCATGTGAGGAAGGCAGACAGGCAGTGTGCTCTTCTTACCCCAAGCTCTCCCAGGATTGACTACAGGGGCGGGGATTTGTGAGGTTCCGTCGGTCCTCACGCAGGGTCCCCTCAGCCCTCCTTCAGGCACCTCGCCTTGCCTCTGAGCAGGACCCGGGATTCTCGGCTCTCCCCAGCTGAAGCCCCGCCCCTTATACCAGGGCCCGGTCTCTCCAAGACCCGGATGTCAGGAAGTCAGACCGTGCCAGCTGCGCTCATTCTATCCCCACGGTTGCCCTGGACTGACAACAGAAACGAGCTTCTCTGAGGTGTCCTGTGATTGCAGTCCAAGGTCCTCTAGTTCTCCTCCTCAGGGTCCTCAACCTGACACCCCGCCAGACCTGGGAATTGGACCACCTGAGGCCCTACCCCATATCCAAGGTACCCAGTCTGAGACCCGGATGTCAGAGAGTGAGACCACGCACCTTGGGCTCATCCTACCCCACGACCACCAAGGACCAACAGCAGCTACAGGCTTCTCTGAGGTCTCTTTTGATTGGGGTCAGGGTCCCCTCAGTCCTCCCTCAGAGTCCCCAAATTGAAACTCCGCAGGAGCTGGGCTTCTTCCCTCTGCTCACTTGAGGACACGCCCCCTTCTCCCAGGTCCCCAGTTTCTCTGAGACCTGGATGCCAGGTAATGTAGCATGTGCTCATCCACCCTCTGTGCTCCCTGAGCCTTGATGTGAGGGTCCCACCTCTGGTCAACATAGGGGGCCTCCCCGGATCTGCCAGGGCTCAAGATGAGGTCCCTGAGGGAGATTATAAGGAACCCCACAGATGCCTACCCCTGCTGTCAGCCCTGAGCCACCCTGCTGGTGGGATGAGCACTTGGCAGCCTGTTCTGACTTCCGCATCTGTGTCTCAGATACATTAGGCAACTGTCAGAAGGGGCAGGGCCTCAACTGGGCAGAGGGGAAAATCTTAGTTCTTTGGAGGGTCAAGGTGAGGATGCTGAGGGAGGACTGAGGGGACCCTGAACCCCAGAGCAGAGTGGGCCCTGGGAGGACATAGGGTGGATGAACATATGCTGCATTTCCTGACATCCAGGTCTCAGAGAGACTAGGGACCTGGTATAGGGGGCTGACTTCCTGACATCCAATCTAAAACTGGGGACCTGGTGTAGGCAGCTGACTTCCTAACATAAGGGGTTCAGACTGGGGTCCTGATATAGGGAGCAGACTTCCTGACATCTGGTTCTCAGGGCGACTGGAGTCCTGGTTTAAGGGCTGGGGGCTTAGTAGGGGAGAGGAGAGAATCCGAAGACCTACCCAGAGACAAGATTAGGTCCTTGAGCAGGAATGAAGAGACCCCACAGATTCCCGCCTCTGTCGTCAGCCGTGGGAGCCCCTGGGGTGATAAGAACACACTAGACCTGTCCTGACTTCCTGACACCCTGGTCTCTGAGAGACTGGGGACCTGGTGTGAGGAGCAGGGACTCAGGGGCGGAGAGGACAGAGCCCAAGCGAGTCGGTTTTTCCCATCAGGTGACCAGCTTTAGCATCAGTCCTTCCATTGCATATTCACAGTTGATTTCCTTTAGGATGGGCTGGCTTGACCTCCTTGCTGTCCGGGGTACTTTCAAGAGTCTTCCCCAGCACCACAGTAGTACCATTTTATACATAGTCTTGTGTATCTGTTAATCTCAAACTCCTAATTTATCCCTTCCCCTGCTTTTCCTCTTTGGTAACCATAAATTTGTTCTCTGAGTCTGTTTCTGCTTTGTAAATAATTTCTTTTGTAGCATCTTTTTAGATTCCACATATAAGTGATACCATACAATATTTGTCTTTCTCTTTCTGCCTGACTTCTCTTAATATGATAATCTCTAGGTCCATTTATGTTGCTACAGATGGCATCACTTCATTATTTTCCATGGCTGAGAAGGATTCCTGTGTGTGTGTGTGTGTGTGTGTGTGTGTGTGTGTGTGTGTGTGTGTGTGTGTGCAGAAACCACATGTTCTTTCTTCTTTATCTAATCATCCACTGATGGACATTTGGGTTCCTCCATATCTTGTCTGCTGTAAATAGTGTCGCAATGAACATTGGGGTGCATGTATATTTTCATATTAGAGTTTCTGTCTTTTCCAGGTATATATTTAGGAGTGGGATTGTTGGATCATCTGGTAGTTCTGTTTGTAGTTGTTTAAGGATCCTCCATACGGTTCTCCCTATTGACTGTACCAATTTACACTGTTCACTAACAGTGTACAAAGGTTCCCTTTTCTCTGCACCCTCTCCAGCATTTATTCTTCATAGGTTTTTATGATGATGGCCATTCTGATCAGTGTAAGGTGACATTTCATTGGAGTGTTGATTTGTATTTGAATATTAATTAGGAGTGTTGAGCTTCTTTTCATGTGCCT